AATCTAAAATCAACAGGTTATTCTTACACCTCAGGGAACTGAAAAAAGAACAGCAAAATAAGCCCAAAAGGAGTACAAAGAAAGAGACAATAAAAACCAGAGTGGAAATAAACGAAATAGAGACCAGAAAAACAATACAAAAAGATCAACGAAACCAAGAGCTAATTTTTTGAGAAGATAAACAAAATTGACAAACCTCTAGCCAGATTCATCAAAAAAAAAAAAAATGAGAGAGAGGACTCAAATTGGTAAAATCAGGAATGAAAGAGGTGAAGTGACAACAGATACCACAGAAAAACAAAACATTTTAAGAAATTACTATGAGCAACTATATGCCAACAAATTTGACAATCTGGAAGAAATGGATAATTTTCTAGAAGCATACAACCTTCCCAAATTAACTCAAGAAGAAACAGAAAATCTGAATAGACTGATTACTACAAAGGAAATTGAATCAGTAATCAACAAGTTCCCAACAAACAAAAGCCCTGGACCAGATGGCTTCACATGTGAATTTTACCAAACATTCAAAAAAGAATTATCACCTATTCTTCTCAAACTATTCCAAAAAATCCAGAGGGAGGGAAGGCTCCCAAATTCTTTCTATGAAGCCACTATCACCCTGATTCCAAAACCAGACAAAGACAGTACAAAAAAGGAAAACCACAGGCCGATATCCCTGATGAACATAGATGCAAAAATCCTCAACAAAATATTAGCAAACAGAATTCAGCAATATATTAAGAAGATCATACATCATGCTCAAGTGGGTTTCATCCCTAGTATGCAAGGTTGGTTCAACATCCACAAATCAATTAATGTGATACACCACATCAACAAAATGAAAAATAAAAATCATATGGTCATGTCAATAGATTCAGAAAAAGCATTTGACAAAATACAGCAGCAATTTATGGTAAAAACTCTTAGCCAAGTGGGAATAGTGGGATCATATCTCAACATAATAAAGGCCATATATGATAAACCCGTAGGTAACATCATACGCATTGGGGAAAAGCTAAAACCATTCCTCTTAAGATCAGGAACAAGACAAGGCTGTCCACTTTCTCTACTTTTATTCAACACAATTCTGGAAGTTCTAGCCACAGCAATCAGACAAGAAAAAGAAATAAAAGGCACCCAAATCGGTAAGGAGGAAGTAAAATTGTCATTGTATGCAGATGACATGATACTATATATAGAGAACCCCGAAGATTCCATCAAAAAACTATTGGAACTGATAGACGAATTCAGTAAGGTTGCAGGATACAAAATCAATATTCAGAAATCAGTTGCATTTGTATATACCAATAATAAACTATCGGAAGGAGAAATTAAGAAAACAGTTCCATTTACAATTGCTTCAAGAACTATAAAATATTTAGGAATAAATTTAACCAAAGAAGTAAAAGACCTGTACTCATAAAATTTAAGACACCGAAGAAAGAAATAAAAGAAGATTCAAATAAATGGAAACACCGACCATGCTCATGGATAGGAAGAATTAATATAGTTAAAATGTCCCAGGGGCTTGCCGAGTGGCTCAGTTGGTTAAGATCTCGCTCAAGAGTTTGAGCTCTGAGCAACAGTGGTTCGATGCCCGAGCTGAGCAGCTGCTGAGCTGCCAACAGGTGACAGGATGGCTCAGCTAAAAAAAAAAAAAAAAAAGTCCATACTGCCTGAAGCAATATATACATTCAATGCAATTCCTATCCAACTACCTATGGCATTTTTCACAGAAATAGAAAATATAATCCTAAAATTTATATGGAACCATAAAAGAACCCGAATAGCCATGGCAATCCTGAGAAACAAGAACCAAGTCGGGGGTATCATGCTACCAGACATCAAAACTTACTACAAGGCTACAGTAATCATAACTGTATGGTACTGGCATAAAAACAGGCCCATAGATCAATGGAACAGAATTGAGCGCCCAGAAATAAATCCATGCATATACGGACAGCTAGTCTATTACAATGGAAGCAAGAATTTACATTGGGGTAAAGATAGTCTATTTAATAGATGGTGCTGGGAAAATTGGACTGACACATGCAAAAAAATGAAACTGGACCACCTCATTACACCACATACAATAACAAATTCGAAATGGATTAAAGACTTAAATGTAAGACCTGAAACCATAAAACTCCTAGAAGAAAATATAGTGAGTAAATTTGCAGACATTACCCTCAGTAATATTTTTACTGATACATTCCCGTGGGCAAAGGAAATAAAAGATAAAATGAACATATGGAATTACATCAAACTTAAAAGTTTTTTCACAACAAAGGAAACCATCAATAAAACAAAATGGAAGCCTACTGAATGGGAGAAGATATTTGTCAACGATATATCTGATAAGGGGTTAATATCCAAAATTTATAAAACACTCATGCAACTCAACACGAAAAAAACAAACAACACAATTAAAAAATGGGCAGAGGATATGAAGAGACATTTCTCTAAAGAGGACATACAGATGGCCAACAGGCATATGAAAAAATGTTCAACCTCACTAATCATTAGGGAAATGAAAATAAAAATCACAATGAGATACCATCTTACCCCAGCCAGAATGGCTACCATCAATAAATCAACAAAAAACAAGTGTTGTCAAGGTTGTGGGGAAAAAGGAACCCTGGTGCACTGTTGGTGGGATTGCAGATTGGTGCAAACACTATGGAAATCAGTAGGGAGGTATCTCAAAAAACTGGAAATAGAACTACCTTATGATCCAGCAATTCCACTCTTAGGTATTTATCCAGAAAACCCAAGACACTAATTCGAAAAAGTATTTGCACCTTTATGTTCATTGCAGCGCTATTTACTATATAGCCAAGACGTGGAAACAATTGAAATGCCCATCGGTATACGACAGGATTCAGAAACTGTGGTACATTTACACAATGGAGTATTTACTCAGCTATAAAGAAGGAAATCGTATCATCTGCAACCATATGGACGGACCTACAGAACATTATGCTAAGTGAAATAAGTCAGAGAAAGACAAATACCATATGATCTCACTTATATGTGGAATCTGAAGAACTGAATGAGTAACGTAAACAGAAATAGTCTTAAAGACACAGAGGAAAAACTGATGGTTGCTAGTTGGGAGGGAGTGGGGATGAAGGAGAAGGGGAAGGGATGATACAACATAAATTGGTAACTACAATATGGCCTCAAGGATAGAATAGACAGTCTGGGGAATACAATCAATAACGTTGTCAAGATTTTTTAGGGGGCCAGATGGACTCATGTCTTGTAAGGGAGATGAACTTCATAGATGGTGTAGAGGCCTGACCACTGCACTGTACATCTGAAGCTGCCATTGAATAATATTATATGTCAACTATAATTTAATACATATATAGTCATGGGATGTGGAGTGTAGTGTGGGAATGGAGTCAATGGAATTGTAATAGATATGTATGATATTGGGATGGGGGGGCGTGGGGGGGATAGGAGGTTTTCACTTTGTGAGGTGTGAAAAGGATAACTATTGCATTGTTTTGTACAGCTGAAACTAATAATAATAAAAATAAAGAAAAATGCAATTAAGACACCCTATTTCCATAATGAGTTTAACAGATTTTTACCCCCCAATTTAAATAGTAAAAATATATGTTCACTGTTGAAAATCTGGGCAACCTAAAATGTATAATGAAGAAAATAAAAATCATGTGGTTTCAAAAAAATAAAATAAAATAAAGAAATCCATAATCAGGAACCCCCCACCCCCCCAAAAAAACAACAAAAAATCACCCTTGAAATACATTACAGTTCACTGGATGTTCTAAAATTACTAAAGTTGTTGAGATTTCATAAGTTCCAAGTAGGCTGATTCCTTCAGTACACACCCACCCACCCAAGTATTGTGGTACTTGTAACAGAAGCCAAGGAACAAAAATTGTTGGGTGTTTATTACCACTTTACTTATAGTTACTTATAAAACATTGAGAATATAGGAAAAATAGAAATTCTTTCTTAATCATCTTTTGTCCTTTGTGAGCAATTCCTCCCCTCCCCCCCCTTTAAAATATGAGCTGAATGTCTTGATTTTTGCACCATGCTTTAAAACCACAAAGAACAGATAAGGCTTTTGAATTTTTCTGAATTGAATTAAATCACAAAAGGGGAAAATGTACTAAAGTCTACCTTTCACAAATGCTACATGTTACATATAACTTTTAAGGCTGAGGAAGTTGTTCTCAGGCACAGGCAGACCCTGTAGTCTGAAATCAACAGGTCTAGGAAATTTAAGATACCAATCATATCATTTAAGGCAACACCAAGTATTTGAGTACTTCAGTATGATACTTTCACTCTGGTAAGGTGAACATGCCTCATAATTTATGTAGAATGTCGTATTTTGTAATAAACCACCTCATTAAAAGAGTCGCTAGAGTTCCTGTAGCATGTCAAGGCAGAGAACACTACACCTCACTCGACGAAGATTGGACTTGAGTCGGGAAGTAGAGGTGGGCAATTATGAGTTATACAGGAAAGTATGTCCTCTTGCAAAGATGAGCAGATTGTTTTAACAAATGGTTTCTATTCTTTGAAGAACGCATTAAGAAAATTTTGTTGGAGAGAAAATTTTAAACCTTACAAGTTGAAACAAAACACATCAATTCTTACTGGAGACTGGAGATGAGCACAAATTGGTGGAATAATCTAACTTTTCATATAAAACACAATCCCAAAGCTTTAAAATACGGGCTGTATAAGCGGCAACAAGCATCAGCTTTTCAAGACCTCGCCGGCACAGGAAGTGGGTTGTACACCCCCAAACCATCACCCTACCCCCACAGGAAGTGAGTTGTTTCCCCCTCCCCCAGGACGGCCTTCCTCCCCTCCCCCGACAGGAAGTGAGGCGCCCCCATTCAGTTGGCCTCAAACCGAGACAAACCAATTAACAGCAAAAGAAGGACGGTCTTTAAGGGGTGAAGGGCACCTCCACTCTGGCCACCCCCATGCACGCCTTGCTTACTGACCTGCTGACGATAGGGGCAGGCAGGGGTCTGGGGCTAAAGAAAGTCCCTGCACAGAGGACAATTCTCTGAGCCTCTCTCAATCGCATTCACTCTTCTCACTCCGTCGTCTCACAGCTTTACAAAAATTCCTCCGCAGACTTTATTATGATATCCATTCTTTCCTTTTACCTAACTGCTTAACTACCTTCCCATAGGCAACTTCTCTTATCGCAGTAACATTTAAAATTGTTTCGGTAAGGAGAAAAACTAAATATTCCCAATACCTTCCGAAAAATGAAGGGATTATTTTGTTCAAAAGCGGCGAATGACTACGTGACTACGCAAAGGCACACTCATTTTCGCTAAGGTTTCTGGGAAATGTAGTTTTTTTTAATTGCTGAGGCCCGCAGTAAGTATCGTGACTTAAATTGGCAATTACTACAGAATGGAGTCCTTGAAAACACAAATTTTGTGTTCGGCGGCAGGATGACCTAGGAAGCACAAAATGGGCCAATACTTCGTATCCCTTTACCTCTTAAACTTACTTGAACCGAAATTTTCCTTCACTCGGCCCAAGGTTCTAGTCTCCCGCCCTCCTCCTTTCTCCTTAGCCATTCAGGAGCCCTCCATGTCTCATTCTATTGGGGTAGGAACCCGAGTAGGAGGGGCCTAATGGTGATTCCTCCTGAGGGACTGAGGCGCGACAGGGCAGAGGTTCGAGGGCTTGTACGCGCGCGCGGGCTCGCTCTTCCCGGAGCGCGACGGCGAGTGCGCGCGCGGAGGGCGGTGCGCGGGGCTGGGAGGAGGCGGGCGGGCTGGCTGGTGGGCTGGGCGGCCGCGAGCGCGCGGTGGACTCCGCGGCGGCGAGTAGTTAGTTGTTGTTAGTGTCAGTTGCTCGGCGGCGGCCGCGGTGACCAGGAAGGGGACCGGCCAGCTGGCGATGGTGGTCACCGCGGTGGCGTGTGCGACCCTCAGGTAACGAGGACAGAGCTGTCTGCGTCTCATCCGTCCCCTTTTCTTTTCGCGCCGGCTTGTGGGACCAGGGTCGCCGCGGGGTGAGGGTGCTAACTGGAGGGAATCCGGGCGGGGCAGCGCGGGGTCTGGGTGGCGCTGACGCTGGGGCTCGGGCGGCGGGCCCGGCGCGGGGACTCCGGCCCCGGCCACCCTTGCACCCCTCCACCCCCAGGGCCGCCGGCATCGCGCGCCCCCTCGCGCCCCTTCCTGCGCCGGCGGCGGCAGCGGCGGCAGCCCGGGTAGCCCGGCGCCCCCCAGAGGAGGGAAAGTTGGGACCTGGCGGCGAGGGACGTCTCCGGGCGCGGCTGGGAGGCTGGTGGGGAATGTGAAGGCTGGATGGAGGAGCTGGCCGTGGGGAGGTTGGGGCAGGACGGGTTCCTGTCGCTCCTGCTAAGTCTACATTGACATCTCGCTCCAATCCCTGGAGCATCCGGCGCAGCCTACCAGCAGCGCCTGGACGAAACCCGGTGGCTCTTTGCCTGCTGTCACTTGGGGCTGCGGCTTGTGAGCCCCCTAACGTGCGGGTTTGCTTGATTAGTCGGTTTGTTTCTCCTATGCTCTTTAACTCTTCCCGTTCCTGCAACTTTTCTTACCTCCCGTGATGAGGACTTGCGATCTGAACCCCCTTCCCCACCCCCTTCCCGTCGCCTGCACCACCCGTCTGAGAGTTGGATTTCGTTTTTCGTCCTTTGGCGACGTTAAAGACTGCTGAGAGCAACACGAAAGAGGAGCCCTCCCACCTTTAAATGTTACTTTCTTGCAATCCGTTATTATTTTTAAGACCCAAGTTCAGGAATTTGAGAGTTGTGGAATGGAGTTATTGGAAGGTTGGCGTTAGTGACGAGTTAAAGGAAAACTAGGTTTCATCTTTATTGGCCTTGCTATAGAAAACCTAATACATTTTTCTTCTGCCTCTGTTACATGTGGTAAGAGTATACGTTGAATTACATATTTGGAGACCCACATACAAGGCTGTTTTTTGGGTCTTTAGATGATGTATATCAACAGCTTCTCACCTGAATTGGGATTGCCTTGGGGATTCTGTTTTGGGGCCTACCTACTGATTTATGTCTAGCAACGTAAATGAAACGATGCAGTAATGTGTGTATTCGTAAAACCCATATTGCTCTCTGCGGTGTGGAAGTGAAAAACGTGGATTATCCACGGGGGTAAAACTTTCCATGAGCAATCTTGGATACCTGCTTCTTCATGGCTTCTGTAATCTCACAGCATTTCTAGATAGTGCAATTCACTGACTACCTTAATTATTTTTTGAAGTGCTTGGCACATATCTTTGGTGACTCATTTAGTAAACTATAATGGCAAGTATGGTACATTTTCATGGCTTCAAATATGGAGTTACAGCCTCAGCCCAGAGATTAATAGTTAACAATGGAAGCAGAATTCATACCATTGCTGGTGAGTTTTGGCTATGACCAACTCAAAAACTATGTAAAAAACAAACATCTTTCCATAGCTGTCAGAGGGGAAGAGGAGGGAATATTTTATCATGTTGTTATTTTGGAGACTCTAACATGGCTGTATTATGTGGGAAAAAATGTCAGATTATTTTCTTTAAGGATTTTTGATGTGTGGTCCTCCTTTCCACCCCTCTACTCTCCATTGAGGGGCTGACATTTATGCTTGGCTGGGTTCCAGGAAGCGAAGAAAAGTGTTTTGTTGAAAGGAAAAGATAAGATTGCTTTGAACTATTATGATACTATGACTGTTCATTTTACTCAGTACAGAGAAGCTTCCTTGATAATTTTTGTACCCCATTAACATTCTGTCAATTCATTTTTAAACATACTGTGAGGCCCATAAGGAAATAATGCCACTTCATAACTGTTCCTGACAATCACATTAAAAAATTGTTCCTGGAATGTGTTATGTGTGTATTTATAAACATTTATCTTTGTACACTTATGGTAATGTAAATATTTAAGTCTGAGAGCTTAGAAACTTTTATTTGCTTATTTGCATACATGTTTTTCAACATCTAGCAGTACCAACCATATTTGCCAAATAAGCATCAGCCATAAATTCATGCTCTGGCTCATTTCATATAGTAACTCTTCTAAATTGCTCCATGGTGAAGCATCATGAGATTAACATTTCTTCGTGAGAGAGATTTGTTGTTGTTAACTGTAATGATGTGCTGTTTAAGTGGAACAGGTGCTGGGCTCTAGCTGTTTGCGTTGAAACCTGCCAGATCATACTCTTTTGTTGGATGGGTTGTTCAAGTAATTTAGAAACCAAACTGTGGCTCCTGGCATGCCAAATGTGAGTTAATGGCTCCATATCACTGCTGCAAATACCTGTTTTCACTGCAAGAGGCAAGTGTACGATGAGCTTTATTTTCTCATTGCTATTCTCTTTAGTGTAATTCCTACTCCCCACCACCACCTCATCCTTTCGTTACTAGAGAGCTCCTGGGAAAGTCTAGGCTCCTTCATTGCTGGTTTGTTTTCCTTGGAGAAATTCTAGTAACTTTCAGGCCAGGAATTGATAGTTCACATTTGTTTGACAAATATTTTGAGTGCTTTGTAAGTGTTAAGCATGGTGGTAGGCCCTGAGTCTATGTAGAATGATATCCCTTTTTGCAGGGAGCATACAGGAGATAGCTGATAACCAATAATTACATTGTGGTGTGTTATAGGAGTGGTATAAGCAGATTCTTATGGATTGAAGCATAGAGGAGGAGGGGTATTGACTAAGACTTGGAGTCTTGGGGGCACGAGAGTGTCCTGGAATACATCTTAGTGGGTTACTGAGTTGGTCTTCAAAAATAGGAGTTATCTAGGTTCAGAAAGAGGGAAAGGACATTTTAGAACACCACTGTCCTATAAAAATATAATACAAGCCACAAATGTAACTTACATAATGTATTTAAAAATGTTCTAACATTAAAAAAGGAAAAAGTGAAATTAACTTTAATAATATTTATTTAACCTGATATATCCAAAATATTATCATTTCAACATGTAATCAATATAAGAAAGTATTTTTGAGATGTTTGATATTCACTTTATTTTTATTTTTCATTTACAGTTGACATTCAATATTATTTCATATTAGTTTCAGGTGTACAGCACAGTGGTTAGACAAATGTATAACTTACAAAGTGATCCTCCCGATTAGTACCTACCTGGCACTATACTTAGTTATTAGAATATTATTGACTGTATTCTCTAAACTGTACTTTACATCCTCATGACTGCTTTGTAATGACCAATTTGTACTTCTTAATCCCTTCCCCTTTTTGAACCATGCCCCTACCCCTTCCCATCTGGTAACCATCAGTTCTCTGTGAGCCTTGTTCTGTTTAGTCTGTTTATTTTGTTCTTTAGAGTCCACATAGGTGAGCTCATGGTATTTGCCTTTATCTGTCTGACTTATTTCCCTTAGCATAATATCCTCTGGGTCCATCCATGTTGCTGCCAATGGTAATATTTCATTTTTTTTATGGCTCAGTAATGTTCTGTTGTATAAAAGTACTACATTTTCTTTATCCAGTAGTCTGTCGATGGGCACTTAGGTTGCTTCCATATCTTGACTACTGTAAATAATGCTGCACTGTACAAAGGAGTGCATGTATTTTTTTAAAATTAGTGTTTTGGATTTCTTGGGATAAATACCCAGAAGTGGAATTGCTAGGTCACAAGGTAGTTCTAGTTTTAATTTTTTGAGGAATCTCAATACTATTTTCTATAGTGGCTGCACCAATTTGCAATCCCACCAACAGTTCTTGAGGGTTCTCTTTTCTCCACATCCTAGCCAGCACTTCCTGTTTGTTGATTTTTTCTGATGATAGTCATTCTGACAGGGGTGAGGCGATCTCATTGTGGTTTTAATTTGCATTTCTCTGATGATTAGTGACATTAGTGATGTTGAGAATCTTTTCATATATCTATTAGCCATTGTATGTCCTCTTTGGAAAAATGTTTATTTAGGTCCTCTGCCCATTTTTAAATCAGATTGTTAGTTATTTTGGTGTTAAGTTGTGTGAGTTCTTTATAAATTTTGGATTTTAACCTCTTATCAGATGTATTGTTGGCGAATATTTTCTCCCATTCAGTAGGTTGTCTTTTTGTGTTGTTAATGGTTTCCTTTGCTGTGCAAAAACTTTTTAGTTTGATGTGGTCGCATTTGTTTGTTTTTTTCTATTGTTCCTCTTGCCTGGGGAGATATATCCAAAAAAATATTGCTGAGAGCAATGTCAGAGAGTTTACTGCCTATGTTTTCTTCTAGGCATTTTATGGTTTCAGGCCTTATTTTTAAATTTAAGTCTTTAATTCATTTT